TAAACAATAAATTATTACAAAGAACATTCTACAGTTTTCTAACTTGTAAGCATTTGGAATTAAAATGCACTTTTTAATTTAACATTAAATAGAATACCTTCCCTTCCCCAAAATAAGTAAAGCTTTTCAAAAGTATTCTATATTGTGAGCCACTCCCCTCCTGGGAATAAAAAGCATGTGAGACTTGTGTTTGATGATTTTCTGGTACTTGGGTATATCCACATTTTCCAACATACTTTTTATTAAGTAAATAAAATTGATCTTAAGCTGCCTATATCTAAATGTTTCTTTTATAAAGATGATAAAGAAAGCAAAGATTTCTATTGGCTTAGCCCTAATCTGTTTGCTTTATTGCAATTCTTTTTTTTTCCATTCCTTTAACTGTTAACCTATTTATAAATCTAAATCTACATGCAAAGGTCATTGGTTGGCTGAACTTAAACCATTTTACTCAGTAAATTTAATTAAGAAAATACAGTGCAACTCATAAGCAAATGAGTTTTTTTCTAGTTTTAAACCAAACCACCCTCTTGAGTGCTGATTGCCTTGCCCGACCCCTGGTGATACAGAAACAGGCAAAATTAAAAAGGACATTAAAGCTTCATTAAATCTGAAACACATTTAGTACAGTGACATATCTGCAGGCCATTTCAGGGAAGATTACATACTCTCTTTTGTAAGTTTCCTAATTTATAATACCTTGACAATAAAAACTGGGGAAATGCAAGTAGATTAATAGGCCAGTAGGGGTAAAAGGCTTAGAATGGCCCCAGGTCTGTCTGTCTCTGAAGTACTTACTCAGAGCATATGTGCTGCTTCTTCCCATAAGGGTTCTGTGTTTATTTTGACTTCTGACAGAAACATGAACTTGTTCTTCATGCAGCTGTATCTGCTAAGAGCCCATTTTCCCTTCTACTTCCTCCTAATAGAGCTTGATAAAAGGATTCTAGGGCCTGGCTATACATTTCCTTCCACTTTGCCATAAGACAAATAGTGTAAAACATGAACACCATGATTGCCTTAGATCTGGAAGGATAAAGGCATATATAGGGAGTAGGTTCCTCTGCTGGAGCCTTCAGATGATGCTTCTGTGCTGTTGCATGTGTTCACTAGTGTATCAACTCAGTAGTGACACTTCATGTGAGAGAAAGTGATTGTCCTGCTGCGCTTCCAGTGGCACCTACTTACTGGTCAAGACCAAGGAACTATTTTCAGTCTCACTAGTTCAAAGAGGCCATAGCTACTAGGATGTCTTAGAATCAGTGTTTTGTTGTTGTTAAGTTTTTACCTATTTTTGTGTGTGTGTGCCAGTACTTTGGGGCTTGAACCCTGCTCTCAGGCACTGTCCCTCTGCTTTTTTTTTCCCCTCTTAATCATGGGGCTTGAAATCAGGGTCTGAGCTCTGTTTCTCAGCTTTTGTGTTAAAGGCTAGGGCTCTCCCACTTTGATCCACACTCATGGACTTTCCTGCCTGGGCTGGCTTTTAACCATAATGCTTAGAACACAGCCTCCTGAGTAGCTAGGATTACAGGCATGAGCCACCACCATCCAGCTTTCCCTTAGCTTTTTCACTCAAGGCTGGCACTTTACCAGTTGAGCCACAGCTCCACTTCCAGCTTTTTGCTGGTTAATTGGAGATAAGAATCTCACAGATTTTTCTGCCCCAGCTGACTTCAATCCACGATCGTCAGGTCTCAGCCTCCTGAATAGCTAGGATTATAGGCATGGGCTATCAGTACTCAACTTAGAAGCAGTTCTTCCAGAGCCATAGTTGATAGGTAGGACTGTGGTTCCTGTGGGTGTCAAGAAAATACAAGAAAACAAAGCCAGATCCAAGAATGATGTGTTTCCCAGTTCAAGTACTATCACCTGTTCTCAAGCAAACTAGGACGGAGAAGCTCCCATCTACCAGCTCACACTTGCAGTTTTACTCTTCTCCTACATAGCAGTATTTGACAGAATTAATGCTATTAGAAATCCTTGCCTACCTGGCACTGATTATAGATGAGCACATATTCCCCTGTCTACTGGAGCCTGGCCTCTCCATGGGACCGTGATACTTGAGAATTGGAGGCTCTAGGATTGAAATGAGAGGAATTCACATTTTTGCATTATATCCTACTCTTTTTTTTTTAAGTTCTCCATTTGTCATTTCTTAATTCCTTAAACTAGAAGAACCAATGGTCAGGGTTGGCATCTGCTAGCTAGCATATGTAGTAGACACATATAAAGCATGTAGACAGAAGTTTTCCATGGTACCCAAAGACACATTCAGACACTCTAGAGAATGGTACAGTGGCTATATATCCACTTGAGGCAGAATGTTCTATATGAATTGTAGCAATTTATATGTCAGCTTTTGTAAGTAAGGGATGCTCTCTTGGCTGGCTGTTTCTCTTATTTGAAATGGAATGATAAGCAAAATTCCTAGTCTGTGTATAAGCATGATGCCAGACAACAGCTTTTGGTGATCTGCCATTGCTTATCAGGCCAGTACAACATGATATAGCCACCATAGTAGATGACAGTGATTGATCTTGAATCAGTAATCATACTCTTACTGACCAGAAGCATACCATCTTTTCAAAATCTAGGACAAACCTACAGCCTGTATTGGATAGGGGCAGTGAGGTCAGAGGAAGAACTGAACATCTCCTCTTCCTGATTAATAGCAGTATAGAAACAACAGTCCTAATAACACAAACTCTGAACTCATTTTAGGTGAATATTTGTTCTTTCCTGTACCCAATCTTGTAGTATTTTTGTTGTTTATACTTGAAGGGATTAATGATAACCATTAATGTGAAATAATATAGTGTAACTTTATACCTTTAAAATCTATATACACATTTATATCTGTATGTATATATTGTACCCATACTGTGACTTGAAGTCAGGACTTCATACTCTTGCTTTGCTTTTTCTAATCATCTCTGGTACTCCACCACTTGAGCCAGTTAATTGGTGATAAGTCTCTTTGATTTGTCTGCCTGGGATGGCTTCCAACAGCTTCCTTTCAACTTCTATTTCTGAAGTAGCTATGATTACAGATATGAGCCACCAGTGCCTGACCAAGTGAATATTTTGTGTACAAGATATGAGTACAAGGAAATTATACTAGGTACTCCAAAATACACACACACACACACACACACACACACACACACACACACACACACACACACACACACACACACAAATGACTGTTGGCTTTTTCAATGCAGTCACCTAACAAGATCATGTGGTTTATTCCTATTACGTTCATGATGTTCAAACTAATTTTAGAACTTTGTAAACCTCAGGTCCTTCATATCTATTTGTATGATAGATAATTTATAAGATCAACACACTGAAGGATGTAATTTTAAATCCAAGATAACAAAATGAAGTAGGTATTCTGCTACATGAAATGGTTTTAGACGTAGGTCCAAGAGAGGAGTTCAAAAAATGTTTGAGAACTGGCACCAGTGGCTCACACCTCTATTTCTACCTAACTTCTCAGAAGCCTGAGATCTGAGAATTGGTATTCAAAGCCAGTCCAGGCAGGAAAGTCTGTGAGACTCTTATCTCCAATCAAAAAACCAGAAGAGGAGCTATGGTTCACGTAGTACTAACCTTGGGGAAAAAAAGATTAGGGACAGTGCCTAGCACTGAGGTTGGTTCTGAAGCAACCTCAATATTTTTTAAATAAGTGTACAAACTTCTCAAGAACTAGAAAGATAATCATGATATGCTGGATTAAGTCCCTGGGTTTCTATTGATGAACTATTATGGGAACTCCTTCAAGAGAACTTGAGGATTTTTATCTGTGAAATAGATTGGTGCTGTCCCAGATCCATTCCGGCTTTAAAACTGCCTGATGTTGCTATTCTGTTTTGAAAGTAGTTTACAGATACATATGTGTGTATGTTCGCGTGCGCGCGTGCCCGCGCGCTTGCAAGGTGTCAGGTCCAAGGCTGGGCTACATGGTGAAGTGCAAATTTTTGCCATTATTTTCTTTAAGGTGGTTATATGTAATTGTTAAGTTTGTTTTGTTTTGTTTTGTTTTTTGTCAGTTGTGGGACATGAACTCTGGGCCTGGTCACTGTCCCTCAGCTCTTCAGCTCGAGGCAAGCGCTCTATCACTTGAGCCACAGCGCCACTTCTGGCTTTTTTTCTGCTTATGTGGTGCAGAGTAGTTGAACCAAGGGCCTCATGCATCCAAGGCAAGCACTGTACACTGTGCCACCTTCCCAGCCTTAAGTTTGATCTTAATATTTGACATTAAGCCTTCTTTTTTTGGGCTGAGCAATTTTGTTTTTACATGTGAGAATCTAAGGAGCAAAATTAAGCAATTATTCCAGAACAAAAATAGTTTACAAATCAAGCTAAAACAGAAGCTCAAAGGATTCATTTGCCCAATTTCAGACTCACTCCTATACTTCTGACTTCACTGTTTTACAATGGCTATTTCCTCCACTATCACTTTTCTTCTAACTGTGACTAGGAATGGATGAAAAAATTTAAAAGTAAATGAAGATAATAGCACAATTTTCAATTTTATAATGTGGTCATTTATGCCTTCCTACAACCCTTCCCTTATACTTGTAACTGAAAAAACAAAATCTACAACTCTGTAAACTAGGATCAAGGAGATGTTCCCATATTACAAACCAGCAGAATTTTACATCTCTGTCTAGAAGAAACTGACATACACATGTAAAATGAATAATGCCCACAGAACTGAGAATATTCCTAAGAGAAACCATGTAAGAGTAATGCTTCGTTATTAACTGCAGGATATTTTATTGGGGAATATAACATTGTCTGTGAAAAAATGTCCATTCTAAATACAGCTCATAATGTAATTACAGTAATAATTTAGTTCATGCTTAGAGATTGTAAGCTTTCTTTTTTTAATATTTGCTAGATGCAACTCTGAAATTTAGTACTTGTCTGTCTTAAGGAGATCTGCCCTGCATGCAAATCTATAACTAGACAAATGTTATTTCCTTTCCCAGCTTGCTCTTGGGAGGTTTCCATATCCTCAGGTAAGATTGTTCATTACTGCCGTTTGCCACTGTGACATTCATTCCTATGTATGAAGGTGCAGGGAGCAATTGTGAACATTTGAGCCACATACAAATAAATCTGTCCTGTTAAATTGAAAAGTGATATCTTAAAGGAGTCATTAGAAGTCTCTATTGATTTTTTATTTTTTTTAAACTCCAGATTTTTTTCCTCTTTGTTAAAGGTTGACAGATCATTTGAGATGTGTTTCCTTAGCCTGGCCCGCTACTATGTACTCATACTGAATGTGAAAGAGGCACCCAGTTTTTTTTTTCAATATGCTTTTAAGCTTTAGGATTCAATTAAAATTATTTGAGTTATAGGATTAAGATGAAACAAAAATACCTAATGTAGGTCATTATTTTTGCTAGGCCAATAGCCCTCCCCCCAGTTTTATGATTTTTTAACATTTTTAAAATTTTTACTCCTTTCCATATTTCTAAGAAAATAAATGGTGTATTATGTTCGCATTATGAATTCCATTCTTTTTCATTTCTTTACAATTTTTGTTATAGAAAGGTGGTAGAACTTAAAATCTAAAGCCATTTTGTGGTTTGGAAATGATTCCCCAGTGTGTGTGGGAAAATAAGCGAGATGTCTAGAGGGGTGAAAAATGAATGGCTTGACTCCTTTCCTCGGGTTGATGCTCACTGTTTTTTCTGGCATCTTGGTCTGTACAGGCCAGAGTGCCTGGAGGCATGTCTGATTTAAAGGTGGTGTTGGTCTCTGCTCTTTAAGCATCTATTAACTTGCTATTATTATGCAAATAAGTGTTGTATTACACATACTAATTTATGCATGGTTAGATTATGCAGATGCATCACAAACATGGTTATTGAATAATAGGAGAGGGCTCTTTCTCTCTACTGTCTTCATAATCAGTTTTAAGCATAGTCTCTTGATACCCATGTGGACACTTAAAGAGCCTTCACTCACTGAAATGTCTCATATCCTTTTCCTTCACAGTTAAAGTCATCAGTTAAGTGGAAGAGAAATTGTCCAGGTTGTTAGGTATGAGAATGTTAGTCTCACTGTTCATATTTGTAAGCTTCTTTGTTTAAATATAACCCTTTCTTAAAGAAAAAAATCTAAAATATAACTGTGTGGCATGCATGCAGTGAGATTTTAGTGTATACAGCTTTGCTGCTTAGCTCTAGGTAGCCCATCAAATTAAAGTCACATTTTCAGGATTTAGAGCTCATTAGATTATTTATCTTAGTAAGTGTCTTTACTGTGTTAGAAATGTTCAAACAATTCACTGTTGGCTAATTTATGCAATCCTGTAAAACCTTGAACTTGGACAAAAAAGGCCTCTCTAGCTAAGCTTAATACAAAATATGTAAGTCATCTAAACAGAAATTTCAAAGACTGAATACATAGCAATCTTTTTGAAATTCCTAATGTAGAGAGTAATTAATCAGTGAGATTTGGTGAGCAATGAATACAAGAAGTGGATTGCCATTGCCCTTAACAAATGGAGTACTTGAAAGAGATGGTAAGATTCAGGAAGAGGCTGTGTATCTTTGCAGATTTGTTTCCACGAGTGTCTGAGTACATGTTCACTTCATTGGTCAAAAACTTCATTGGAAGGTAGAAAATTCTAATATGTTATCCTTCCTAGTTAACAATAGCCTTCATGCCAGAGTGGGAGAAAACTCTATTTCTTGGTACTTTCATTTTAAATAATAGAAGCAGGTTTGATGCCATCAGGTCTTATTTCCTAAGTCTTTCAGAACAAGTTTGGGTGCTTCATTGCTAAAATTAATAATGACATTTTGTGGAATTTGCATTTATTTTACAGGCTCTGTTTCATTAGAGGAAAATTATTAGTGCTCTTCTACCCCTTCCTTTTGCCTCAAATAAATGTCTATTTTTATTATGTCACATATTATAAAATCATACTTATATATTTGTCATAATTTTAACTACAAATTACATAATTATTATATGATTATGTAATCATAATGATAAAAATCACACCTTCTCTGGCCCACTATGCCATTTGAACCATAAGCACTCCATGAGACAGCAACCTGCCTTCTCCAATTGGGCAAAGGAAATTACCACTGAGCTGCAAGTGGTTTGGTTCCATTGACTCCCAAGCAAAATAGGTTGGAATGAGTCATAGATTCTATGGGTTGAAAGAGATCTCTGATATTATCATATCAAACCTCTTCACAGTATTTCCAAAAACCAAACATCCATGCTCGTGTTTCAATATAGCTAATGACAGAAAAACCTACTCTTTTATAAGGTAGTCTTGGATCTGTTACCCAGTTGAGGACTACTTAATCCTGATTATCACCCACTAATTTGTCATAAAGCATAGATAAGCCATTCATATATTGTTAAACTCACATAATTTTGAGTCCTTCTGTACTGGGGTCAGCGTTGTGAAATGACTACCCAAGCCTCCTAAAAATTGAGGCCCCAGGCCAAAGCTATCTCACCATTGGCAGTTTCTGTAGAGTGGCCTATTGGACTTAACTTTGGACTAATTGGACTAAACTTTGAACTAAAAGACAGAAGATTAGAATCAGAAGCCAGCCACCTTTACCTCACAGTTACCCCAGATCTTCATTCTTGTTTTGTAAACTCCCTGAGAACTTAGTTTATTTCTAGATGATAATTCTGATATGTATTAGTCCTCTCTGATTAAAGGAGATATGCGGTTCAAATGAGAAAAAGTACAAGGGCCACCCATACTGTCCCTAATAATGGGGCTGTAACACAAAATGGAATTTCCTAGTACCAATGGAAAATCTAGCAACCTGCCAGCCAGAACTGGAGCAGAGATCAAGGCTGAAAGGAGCCAGCTTTGAGGTTCTTCCTTCCCCCAGCCCAGCATTCAAGCTGCTGACAAGGTCTTTAGCAGCCCTTCTTCCAACTGGTGACACTGAATTCTGGTAGGGTGCGTGTGAAGAAAGGTGCTGGAAAGATATTAGGGCGAGTCAGTGGCCTGGGACCAACAGAAAGATTAAAGGTGGTGGGTTTTGTGAATTTCATGGTTTTGTGGGCCAGATGTTTATTGTATGAAAACACAATTTGAATTTTCATTAGGCTTTACTGTTGCATAGCCTCATTGGCAGACAATTTAGAATTTTAAAGAAAAAGAAAAGGTCAGGGGCTACCATCAGAAATAATAACAGTGATGTGTTGAATTTATGTAGCACTTTTTCCATAAAGAGCCATTGAGCCTGCAGGGAACTATGCAAAGACTAGGACAGAGCTAGGTAAAAGCACCTGTAGGGAGGAGTGGGTTCACTTAGGTCTAGGACTTGGAGACTGCTACACCCAGTGCCTGACTCTGTGTTATTATAGTTGGGTTGCTGTTCATTCCCTTGCTTTTCCTGTCATTCATCCGCCTACCACTTCTTGTAGTTTACCTTCTCTGCCCTAGAGTGACTTCTTTTGTTGAAGGGAATGCTGAGTATTTGAGGATTGCTCCATTGTAGATAAGATCATTCCCTAGAGTCATTTTGTAATTCTTCTGTGTTTAGTGGAGAGACTAGGAACCCAAAGGATCTTAGAGCCCTTACCAACACAACTGACATTAATTATTCTAAGTGTCTATAGAGCATACTCTGTGAAAAGGATAATGAAAATTGCTTTTAAAAATGCCTTCCAGTTGGGCACTACTATAAGGCTAGCTACTCAGGAGCCTGAGATCTGAGGTTCGAGGTTAAAGCCAGCCAGTGCAGGGAAGTCTGTGAGATTCTTAATTCCAATTAACTACCAAGAAGCTGTAAGTAGAGCTGTGGCTCAAGTGCTGTCCTTGAGTGAAAAAGCTAAGAGACAGTCCCCAGGCCCTGAATTCAAGCCCTAATACCAGCACAAAAATACAGTAAAATGAAAACATCTTCCAGATATATCTGAGTTTCTTGAGCAATTTAGCTTTAGTAGTAATCTAGAAAAATGTGCAGGTCTGGACAAGGACTGGAGGAGCTGTGTATAGTTAATCATGTAGGTCCAAATTCAGTTGACTAAAAAACATGATGGTGGGCAATGGTTTGTTTAATGACACCATAATTTAGGAGAAATGAAAAGGATTGCCTACTAAAAATTGTCATTGTTCATTCTAACTTCATAACAGGGCCCCACATTAGGACAATAGTAAATCCACTAGGGAGCCTTCTCAGGGACTGTGAGTGTTCTGGCACTGGGAAATTTGGTAAGCAAGATTCCACAGGAAAGGGAAGATAATAACAGATACAAATGTATTTAAAGTACTTTTGCATGGATAAAAATAGTATTCTTTTGGCTATAATTCCTGATCTTGGTTAATAAATTATATCAAAATGACCTGAAGTTAAAAGGGGGGAGGGGTGGGAATCTGAGCAAATAGTGCCCCTGGTATTGTAAAGCTTTGAATGTTTTCACACCCCATTAATTTATTACTTCTCTTTCTTCATCTTTAAATTTCATTTTTTTTTCAAAAATTCTGACTCCCCGCTGCTGCAGTGATTTTCATCTTGTTGTTAATTTTCCCTGCTCCATATGGAGCTCCAGACATTTCACCTGGAGGCTGTACTAGATTTTGCTGTAGTGATCGTACTTCCGGAGGCCAAAACTGTCATTTAGGGTTCCTGGTGCATCTGTCTGCGCCAGGCTTTTCACTGGCATAGGAGAGTGTGAATAACAAATTGGATGCACCTGAGATTCGGATGATTAGTGTGTTTTGTGAATCTCCAGGACTTGTAAGCAGATAGCTCTGGGGGCGGGGGGGGGGGAGTGGAGGACTAAATGGGTGGTGAGTGAGTCTGTACTCACTTACATTTGGGGCTTTGCTAGGGAAGTGCAAACATCCTAGGCAGCCTGAGTGCAGGGAGAGTAACAAATATTTCATCCTGCCTTGTCATTGATTAGAAAAGAGCCTTTAATTTCATTTCACCCCATGTTGTGATTAATTTGCATTCTTTGTCAGAAGTTAATGGAGTTTTTTATGGTTCACTCTGAAATCCTTGAAGACATCAGACTTGAT